GTCTTTATGCTAAGCTAATCTTTGCTAATTGTCCCCTGACTCTAGCTTCATTTTTTCAGCTTCAGACATGAGAGTGGTGTTGATGTTCTCATCTAACTCGGCAACAGAGTGACTAAGCGTAATTCCCAAAATGTCATAGTATTATTTGTACTATTATTCAAGTACAAAACAGATCATTTTGTATTGGTAATATTTGTCACAGATATGGTCCCAATGCATGGGCTAATGTGCAGGGCCTCCATTTCATATATTGACTCTTTGATCCCAACTGACTTGTCTCTTTAATAACTCACACTCACCCGTATCCTGCTGTCCTGCCTTGTTCATTGTTATCCAGGATATCCGAACCACATGGTCTACGAATAGGATCACAGTCCTCATCTGATCCATCCTCACAGTCATAGTCCCCGTTGCAATGTAATCTCTTCGTGATGCAAGAACCTGCGTACAGATGGCAGTGAAGCTGATGAGGTACTGTAGGTGACTAAGGCTACATCCACACTACTACGTTTGCGTTTTAAAACCCCCAAAACGGAGGCGGTAGTTTGAAAACTTTTGCATTTTAGTGTGGACGGACAGAAACGGGGACTTTAAAAAAAACAATGACGCAGGCATCTGCATTCGCTAATTATTTGGTTCTTAGCAGACACGACGTATCCTCTCCTGATTCGTCACGCTGCCGGGAGAAAACAAACAAACAACAACAGCCTTGATTACCGATCGACTACTAGTGGTTAATTCAACATGTATAACGGATTGCAGGCATTGCTGACCTTGTTATCTATATACTAGCAGCTATTGTGAAGTTAAATTCTGCGTTTTATAATGCTACTACTGCCAAAATGCGGAGGAAGCAAGCGGTTATTGGAACGATTAGCGAGCGCCGTGTCCAGCGGCGTTATCAACCCTACGGAGCGAACATTTGAAGTCATGGTTTGCGTCTTTGAGGAAAGCGATGGACACAACACAGAGGACTTTCCTGTTCTTTTCAATGCTTATTTTGTTTTTGCACAGCTATTGTGAAGTTCACAAAGAAACTGTAAACGCACAAAAGCACAAACGTTCTCCAGTACGACGGGGACTTCCAGCCATCTGGCAGAGTACGAGTGTGAGAACAGACAATATTACATTACAGTCATTTATCAGACGCTTTTATCCAAAGCGACTAGCGGAGTCGGAGCTGGGGATCGAACCGCCGATCCTCTGATTGAAGGACGTAGTCATGTGATATTTTTTTGTCAAGCATGTTAGTATGGATGGAAATAATTTCTATAACAGTGCTAAAACACCTTTCAACGTATTAGTGTGGATGCAGTCTCAGAAGAAGCTGAAGTACCTGACTCGCACAGGAACTCTGAGTCGGAGCATAAAGGGGGAGGCGGTCGCTCGCATTGAGCATCCGTTCGACAAGACTCCCTCTCCCCCAGTGATCCTTCACAGGGCGCACCCTTAAACTGGCCAAACACGACCACACTTCGGGAACGCCTCTGAGGATCACAAATGAAATCACACTTTGTCCAGCATCAAAGGCAGAGAAACATTGAAGCTGAGAAAATAAGTTTATACGGTTAAGTCTTCTTGCCAAACTGTGCAACAGATATAGCGGTTGTAAAAACCGAAATGTTATTACTTTTAGGCCGAATATCACGGACCTTACAAAAAACTATTTAAAATTGACATTAATAAATTCATCTTTAATTAAGTACATTAAAATATCTGGTTTAAAGGTAGCTCAACCACATCAAATAGTGTAACGGAAGTTCCCACTTTTTTATCCAATATGATTAGATTTAGCTGCTTTATTTACATTTCTTTTACATTCTCAATTACTAATTTGTTGAAGCATCAACATTTTGATTTTTCATCTTCATGAAATAGGATAAAAGTTAGTACATATTTTTTCCCCGTTAGCTAAAGCTCCTTAAGTTATTAAACTTTAGCTAAGGCTATGTCACCAGAAGCTGGAATCGGTTTGTTTCTGTTTTCTAGCCAGTACTGTACTGTGAATGGACTAAGTTGAATATTGAGTTTTGTAGTCACTGACTACAGTTTTACTGGACTCACCCTGATATTTGTGCAATTATCACAAGAGCTCCACTCTGACCAGCGGCTCCAATGACAGTTGACTGCTGGTGGATCAGAAAGTACCTCTCCCCTGAAATACACATATTAAGTGATGCGACTTCTTTGACGCACAAAATCCTTAGTAAGTGAACAAAAACAAGATCCTTGCTGTTGTGTAAATGAAATACGCAAAATACATACATTCCATTTCCAAGAAGCGTCATAGTGAGACACAGACCACAGAAGCCCAGCTGGAGAGCAGCTTTGGTCCTCATGATGAACCTTTGAAGAGACAAATGGTGCTGTGTGTCTGTCCTGATTAAGTCTTTTAAGCTGCCTCTCTGTCAATGATTATTCAACTGCAAAAGGAGCATGTTGTCATCATCAAAGTCAATAGTTTGGATTTCAGGTGAGGCTATATTTATTCAGTGCTCGGAAACTCCATGTACCAAAGTTTAAAGTGTTTGTTTGAATTAAAACATCTTACTCATCCAGTCAGTATATGTTGTTCTTCACTGTGTGAGCGAAGCCTCTCCACAAGCATAATAAGTACGATTATTAATTTCTTCTCACCAAACTTTAACTGTTAACTGTTCTTTTATGCGTTTATCCATTGGTTGAAATACACCGTGATTGACTAAAAGCCAACAAAACAAATAAACTCTCACTCAGCTAGATGTGCACAACTCTATAACAGATACTTTTGGCAAATATATATTTAAGTTTTTAGTTGATATTTACTGCTAAAAAGAAAGACAGACAAATTAATCAAACTACTTAAAAACAAATGAACAAGTGTTAATTGGTGTCCGATTTGGAATCATATTGACGTTGAACGAATAAATAAAAATGGCAGCACTCTGTGGATCTTTATTTTAATTTTTAGCATTCCATCTCGTTCAGTTAATGATATATTTTATAACTATTAATCATTTTAATTATTGATTCATTCCCTTAGAACCACAAGATGTAAGACTTGAAAGTATAAAACAAATATTGAAGCATCGTCATTGCAATACAGTACATAATATTGTAAATGTGTTCACATGTTTTTGGTCATTTGTATATTTCCTGGAAACTGGAAACTATCCCAGCATGCACTGGGTGAAACAGTTGGGGCAGCACATGAAAGCTGACAAACACTCGTAATAGTGCTGTTTCAAGTCTGGCCTTTCTTTTAGTGCATCCAGTACACACTCGTTTATACACAAGGTCAAAGGTAATTTATTATACTTAGTTTTTTGTATTTTAAGAATGCTTGTACTAATAGGTGAACATTTGTTAATTTCCGTGTTTCCAGGATGATGCAATCATTCAGGCAGGTCCACAGAAAGCAGAGCAAATATTGAAAGAGGCTGACGTCCATGGTACATTCAGGTCACCATCTGAGATTGGGAAACTGAATGGCACAACTATCACACGGGCTACAGCTAAACTGCTATTAGATTCTGTCTCTGAAGTGCAACTCTTTGCCCACAAGATGGCTACATTGAGCAGATGTTGTGTCCTAGTCTTAAGGTGTGTTCACATACTGATTATGTACAGGCCAACTGAACACACTAACATGGGGACTATAACGATTTATTCAAAATACCAAACTAACTTCTTCCTCTGACAAGTCAAACACTGTTTCCTTTTAATAAATAATATCAAAACAAGCCTTGCACAATGCACAGGAAGCTTTAGACTGTTGCACCTAATGACCTGTCATGTGATCTGAGTGGCTTCTGCTGAGTCTGCAGTACTTTGTTCTACAAAAGGAGGGAGGGCAGTGTGCATAAATGACAAAACAATTGTCAGAATAGACGGATGAAAGCAGCAGTGAATTTAAAAGTGGATTAATTGGGATTATGATCAAATTAGCTAATGATCCATGATCAGGTGAATCATTATTCATGAACACAGAGGTTTGGCAGCAAATCATCTGCTTTTATCCATCTGAGATAGTAAAACTGATGTTAAATTCTGTAGTATTCAGCATGCTGATAGGTACTTTCTGCTGACTTAAATAAACACTCGGACTATTCCCTGATGTGTCCAAAGTCAATCTGGGGGCTGCCCTGTCCCGTGTCTTTCCGTGTATCTGCAAGCAGAGCTGGGGTAGTCTCGGGGCTATGTGGTCACGGCCCGCTGGAGAGGCACAAATATGTGCTGAGGTCACCACTTTTACGACGTTTGGCAGTTTCCTCCCAGCTTTCTCAGGAAACCAGAGGGTAGGTAAGGTGCTTGGCCAATATTTCTCCTGAGTAGAAAGACTTCCTGTTTTGTTTTTTTTTGAGGGGGGGGGGTTGAAACTGTGTGGAAACACTTGTGGAACAGCCAATTGCCCGGCTTTACCGTAATTTACCCACGGCAGAATATGATAACGTTGCTTCCTACATTGCCACTTGCCGCACTGATTTATGCTATATTTTTAGACTGAAATGCTCAAGAGAAGTGAAGGCAGTCGGGAGTTAAAAGAACAGAGTCGGACAGAGAGGATAAAATCTAAGACTACCTCAATTATGGACTGGAGATAAGTGGCTATCTTAGGTTCTGGTTGTGGTGGCAGCCGGTTCCAGGATTCACGCCCTAAATGCTGCATGTTTGGATAGTGGCCTTCCTGTAATATACTGAGGGAAGGACACTTCCCATTAGTTCGTCTCTGTCAGCATTCTATCACAAAAATAAACCCTCTAATGTGTATGTGCTGACTTGTGCCATCTGTAGTCTGTTTCTGGAAAAAACGAACTCCCATACTTTTCCTTTTCCCACCAGAGTGTTTTACATGAGTAGCACAAGTAGCATCCAACATGTCCTCCTGTATGCAAGTGTGTGGATGTTATTGGGTGTGCCACGATCCAAACAATGAATCACATTTAGAAGAAAAGGGAACCATAATTCTAACCTAACGTCATCAGTGATGCAGGGCCAGAGAGACACGTCATTGACGAGAAAAGGTTACGTTTGCTATCCTGGATTTTATTATATACAGTGTATGCATATTGCTGCATTAATATATAAAAGGCATATCAGCACAATATAAATTGCAAATGTCAGATGGGATGCAGCGACATTACTACAGATGCATGCGTTCTGCAAAACAAGAGTCTGATGGTATTAAATGTTTAATAAGAGGTTATGAAAAAGATCATTCCAGTGGTTGGTGGCTGAAGGGGAAAACAGACTCTCAGCTAGTCAGTTATCTGGCTTCTGAGGAGCTCATCTCCTAAAAAGCAGCCTCTGTCAGCAGAACACAGGATACACAGGCAGGAAGCACATCCTTCCTCTGTCCCATTCTCTGTAATTTCTCTCTTCGTCTCTTTAACACCAAGTGAAATAATGTGTTTTTCTTTGCAGTTTTTGAGGTGTCAGAACTACATAAATATACAGTATAAATACTACATTTGACTATCTGGTCTGAAGTTATAGGTGCAGATGTTACATCTGAATGTATACATGTGGTGGTTGGTTGACCATGCTAATAGCTTTGGTCATGCCAATAGTTATGATCAAGAGAGCTCTCATGTGTCTCTAACATGGGCTGTGGATTAGTATTCACCAGCATTGATGTTTAATCAATAAACGTTATATAGCATACTGCCATGTTGTAGTCAAGACCACCTAAACCAAGACCAAGTCTTGAGCAAGACCAGCGTATAAGACCAGGACCAGACCAGTGCGAGTCCCACTGCATGACAATAAAATGTGGCACATGCAAACTTTCGGCACTCCTCAAATTGATCTGAGAGATCCACATTCCCACAGAAAACAAATGAGGATTCCTCTTCAGTCACCTCTTTTATTGTCATATGTGTGTATGTGTGAGTGTACCATGAGAAATGTCTCAAAAGAGATAAGTTTTATGCATGGGGATTTTCCTGTTTTCTATGAGCAATCACAGTAATGATGTTAACAAATAAATCAGACAAATGCTTGAAATAGAGTCCTCTGAGACCGAGACAAGATGGATTCCTAGACGAGACCTTCAAGAAGTGGTCTTGAGTACTACAACACTGCTGCCAAGTGCCAACTGTAACATTATCACAAACCAGCTGTGCTGTTAGGCCATCAGCTGAGCTTCCATTGCACTGCAGAGAAACAGACCACATAGCATCAGCTGCGGGAATGTTCTCTGGTGTTTAAGTCATTTGTAAATTGTCTGATATAAATTAAATTCATGTTAGTTGATGGCTCTCTAGAAAAAAACGTTTTTTTACAGAAGTGAAACCTGCCAGTCCACATCAGGAAAACATCGGCATTGACATCATCTTAGTGCACATCTCAGTGTTAAAGTATATGTTGTATATATGTGATGTTTGATTTCCTTTCCCAATAATTTGTTTCTCTGTCTTTGTTTATCTGTTAAAGAAGTTCTTTGTCTTTTTAATGGTGGCTATCCCTGCTTATACTAACGACCTGGTGCTTCACTTAATTATCCCAAAACAAACATCTATTAATGCTTCTGCACACATGGAACAAAACACTTCCTGTGCGACTTGAGAATTTTCTTTCTGGGAATATCACAACTGGCACTCTTAGTGCTTAGAAGAGTAAATGTAAAAACTGTCATTACACGGCTGAAGCACTGTATGGTATTGAAAAAGCAAAATAGACATTTATACTGAGGAAGTTGATGACCCATTTTCAGCCATCGGTTGACTGTAATTGCAATAACACTAGTGCATGGCAAAGGAAATGTAGTGCCTGCTGGTCTTCCAAAAAATGTGCTGTGTAAGCAACAGTGGAGCTTTGCTCTCTTGTTTGGACTCTTCTTTCCCCTCACTCCTTCTACATTTAACCATACGAGGCTGAGTGTACAAACTGTTGAGATGATAGGAATGTGCTTTTTAATTTGAAAGTCATCCAATGCTGGGGATCCACCTTGTCGACAGAGGAAGAACTTCTGACACAACTGTTGAGCAACAAGGAATCCTTGCTTCAGCTCAGCCTTTGTCATTTTCTGTCAAATGAAAATCATATCTTTCATATTTCATCTAAAACTGTTTTGAAAAACAATAAAAGCTTGTAGCAGTGCTTGTTTTTAGATATTACCTAAAGGCTTGGGAGCAGGGACTTTTTTGGGAGGTCAATATATTGGAACATTACAGCTCCAATAATTTATTTTTTGACCACTTGGGGGAAGCAGAAAAAAAGCTGTAAAGACAACATTAAGTATCACCTTTTAAAGGAACAGTGTGCATTTAGGGGGATCTATTGGCAACAATGGAACAAAACACTAACAAGAAAGTTGTCTTTGGTGTACAATCACCTGATCGTCGTATTTTCACCTTCGAATGAGACTTTTATATCTATACGGATCGGTACTCTTCACAGAGCCGTCCTCCATGTTTCTACAGTAGCCCAGAATGGACAAACCAAACTGTAGATGTTTTCGCATCGGCCACAGTAGTTCTCTTACACGCTTTGCACACAGTAGCAATTTTAAATTGGTTGCAATCTGCAACCTCACCGCCTCAGCTGCCAAATCCTACACACTGCGCCTTTAAGCTGATGTAGCACACTTGATGGAGCAGCACTAGCACTCATGGCCACCAATATTCACTCTTAACTTCTAACTAATATATCTGTATTGGTCTCCACCAACTCAGGGTTGCTATGTTTTGTGTTGATGTTTTAGGGCTGTTTTGTTGAAAACAGCTGATTGCTGTGGCTGAGCCATGAGAGCGCTGATAATGAACCAAAACAGGAGCACTACAGTTGCAGGCCCTAAAACCAAAACAATGAGCTGAAAGACGCTACAAAGCTCCATAGAGCTGAGACGTCGGTCGATAATTATGTGGGTTCATAAAGCAACCCCTTTCACATCACACATTAAGTCATTTGATCTGTTTTTATTCTACAAAACATGTATTATTGCTGCTTTAAATTTGTGACAAAAGCCACTGTCTTGATGATGAAAGCCTAATGTTTTACAACACTATGGACGCAGTTTAGTTTTGCATGAAACACTAAATGCAGGGCTAAATGAGCGATGGTGATATTCTCCTCCACGTGAAGAGACCGCCCCCTCTTTCTAGTTAAAATCTGCAGCAGTTATGCCTGTCAGTCAGCGCGTGAAGGGTTAAACAGGGAGTTTGCAGCAGTCTCTCCTTTCTGTCCACGGCATTTAGCGGAAAACATCTGACTCCTGCTCGTTTTTCCGAGAGCTGTGTTTGGCTTTTTCTCATTTCTTTTTTTTTTTTTTTTTTTTTTTGGTTGTGCTGGAGCCGCGGAGGCATCCCGGGGAAACAAAAGTCCCGGTTTTCGACAGCAGGAGATCAACATCTTACTGCGCGCTTTCAAACAGGTACGTGCGTCCACACGTTGGTAACATTTTCCATCCGTGCGTTAATTAAGGTTCCACCGAAGGATTACAGGTCGCGTTAAAGCCAGGTCGGTATTTGAGTTCGCAGTTGAAAGCGGCGATAATAACTAGCTGTGGGTTGGTGAGAGTTGCTCTTCAGACTAAAACAAACCTACATTGGTTTTCTCTGCGGGAGGTAAAAACTTCATTCCACGTTTTCAAGAACTCATTTCCATTCCTGTCTCAATTACAACAAACAATTTCACTTTTGTCCTTCTTACGTTTTCTTTCCAGAACACGCTCTTCTTGCTGCACCGCTGTTAAACATCTTCTTAATCTTGAGACAATATATCGTTTGAGTTTTGTTTGTTTTTATGTTGCATCTCCTCTCATCCCTGTATATCTACAGCCTAGTTTCAGTGCAAGACAACTTAGTAGGAAAATGTTTGCATGGCCTTTGTGTTCACAGTGGGCCTGTGGTATTTCACCATCTCATTCACTTGTAGACTGAGTCATTCCCTGATTTCCTCCAGATGTGCAGTAGTTTACGTTTCCTGACGGCCCAGGATTGTGACATTTCTGCCCTTGCACTGCAGTTATTCTGCTGACGAATATGAAATGACCATTGTGTTCTGTGGCTTATGTGTTATTTGTGTCGTGACACTGGTGGACGCTGTAAAACAAAGCTCTTCTCCTCGTCGTTCATCTGCTAGCGTTTAAGTAAGTTGTTAAAATGTAATCCTTTAACTCATATCTGCAGTGAACTGCTGACATTTCATTTTTTTATTTTTTTATTTTTTATTAGCCTTTCCTCCAGCTAGCGGGACTCTGACACCACGTTTACTGGACATGTGCAATCATGTGTCACACTCTTGTAAATGGAGCGTTAGCCCATGGCATCAACAAGTCTTTAGGCGTATGTGTCTGTTTTTCTACCCTTCCTCGCACAGCAACTAAACAGCGTGTGTGTGTGTGTGTGTGTGTGTGTGTGTGTGTGGTAGCAGGAATTTGAATGTCACCTGGAGGAACCAAACGCACGAGGCGTCATGTGGCCTGCTTGTTTCCTTGACTTCAAAACTGGTATTGGTGGTTGAAATAAAGGTTGTATTGCTTTACAGCTGCACAGTACAGCAGCTGTTGTGTGAGAACACCCTCATTCGAACCGCAATTTGAATAATTTCTTGAATAGGAAAACATGCTCAATTGAAAATCCAACTATTCCGAATAAGTCTTCATTTACAGAATCTGTGTCAATCTCTGATATGGTCTGACGTGCTTCATAGGGATGTAACAGTTGGCACTCAAAGACCAGAAGGTTAGATGGATACTTTGTTCATCCAGCTATCTATCTAAAGGAAATGAGAGCCATACAGGATGAGATAAGAGATGGGAACTTTCAGGTCATTAAGTGCAAACTGATTAATCAATCAGACAGATTACCTGCCTGATTGATTTCATCATAAACATCACCTTTTAGATGGGACACTGTTTTTGTGCATCCTTACTCTCTTGTGACGAAAACACTGGATTTGGATTGTTCCCTTTTTTGAGGCTCATTTGACCCTGATTACACATTTTAAGAGGGCCTGACATCGTTGTGGGTGAACGATCACTCCAAAGGCTCCTATTTCCCTTCGTAGTTGCTGAGCTGGGCATCACGAGATCTTGTGCTCTGCTAGCGTAACATTAACCGCGGGTAATTGCTCAACCTTTGCCCACTTCCAACCTTTGGTCTGTCCTACAGTACTCACAGCCTCGGTGTGCAGCCAGTGTAGCCTCTGGTGCTGGTCCGAAAGGTATGTATGTCGCACACAGCCGTGTTTGCACTGGTTGTACAGAATGTCTGGCTGTGATTGTTACCACTTTGTCGCATTTGTTTGATTCATTAAGTGATCAACGGTGACGCAAGAGTGTGTGTGTGTGTGTGTGTGTGTTCCACTTAACATAGTTGAGGAGATGCAGGTAGCTGCTGAGTCGTTGTTTCTGCCTCATGTGACATTGCCTTGGGTTTCCTGCACAGTAAGTGCAGAGGTGTTCGTGACTGTCCAGTGTGTTGGCAGACAAAACGATGATGTTATTTACCACATGCAAATAGGACTAGCCGTAGTTGGCTCAGCACGCTGGTTTTTGATGGCATTTTTAAGGGTCTGTCCCTCTGATAAACCCTCCTGAGATAAGTATCAAATTTGAAGGCAGGGGAACAATTTATTTGTTAAGAGGTGACTGTGAGGAGAACCATCTTTATCTTTTGGATAATTCACTCTTTAACAGGAGTGAACAACTGACACAGCATGTGTAAAGCAGGTTTGAAGTGCGTTTTCTGGATTCTCGTTCTTAATGTTTTACGGGTCATATGTCTTCCTATGCCTCTCCATCTCGAGGATGTTCCTGCGGTTGTAAATGTTTACTGTGTATTGTTAACATATTTGATTGTTTATGGTGTGCATAACTCATTTTCAGCCGCTCCGTGCAAAACCTCTTTAGCGGTGACAAAGTATTTTAATTGTATCCCTTTACAGTTTAATATTTAGTTTGCAGTTTCACAAAGAGTGCGTTTTAACTTTTTATCACCTTCTCCTTTTTTTTTTTATTTTTTTTTTTTTTTAGGTCTCTCTTGCCACACGCACTTCACTTTTTCTGCTCCAGACAAATAACAAGAAAAGCATGTGTGTGTGTTGAGTCATCTGTTCGGTTGACCTCGCTGCCCCTGAACACGGTGCTGCTGCCTGCTTTACTCCCCGAACTGTCCACTTGTCCAGTGAGGCTCGCTCCACACCATGTCTGCAGAGGTGGAGAACTGCGCTGCCGTCCCTGCCGATCCTAGCGTCGCATCCCCAGCTACAGCCTCGACCAGCACTCCTCCCACCTCCCCTGCGACAGCCACATCCAAGGTCCCATTCAAGAAAGAGAAGAAGAAAGGTGACGATCATGCTGTGATCAAGACAGACATTTTTGTGGTCTCATCTTGTAGAAATCATAGTTTATTTGATTCTTTGTTTTTACAGTCTCAGAGAAGACTGATGAGTACCTGCTGGGCAGGTTTCAAGGGGATGGCGTGAGGTACAAGGCCAAGCTGATTGGCATCGATGATGTCCAAGAGCCCAGAGGAGACAAGATGTCCCAGGACTCCATGATGAAACTTAAGGTGCAACATAGGACGTTGGACTGTGCCCTGCTATATTTATAGTTCATTGAAAATATTAAGGGGATGGTAGCTCTGATGTTTTTCAATTACTAAGTCATCTGTGTGGTTACACTTTTACATCATCTGCATGTCACTGCAGAGGGCGCCACTGTGCACAAACGTTTGCGGATATAGAGTGTTACGGGGATGACTTGTTTTTATAGGCCAACCCGAAAGTTAGCATCGCGATGGTTCCCTTGACAAAAAGCTAATGAAATTTTTCCTTTGGATTATTGCAGAAATTAAGCTCTGTGGCAAACGTTAAGCTATAAAAGAACTACACCACATTCAAACCTAAACAAAAAAAACCATTTACTTTAAGGCGAGGGAACCAGGAGTGCTCAATAGAGTGCTCATTCCTGAAGCACTATTAGTTTTAAATCACAGGTCATGTTTTGTTTACTTACAAAAGACAGAAAAACTGAACCGTATGTATTATTCATTTGACACCAGGGCATGGCAGTAGCTGCTCGGTCCCAAGGCAAACACAAACAGAGGATCTGGGTCAACATTTCCATGTCGGGCATCAAGATCGTTGATGAGAAATCAGGAGTGAGTTCTGCCATTTCCTTCCATTGCTGTCGCATCACACTGAGGAGTTTATTTGATTGTGTTTGGCCTGCTAACAGAGCCTTTGTCCTTATAACTCAGGTGATTGAACAGGAACATATGGTGAGTAAGATCTCCTTCATCGCCAGAGATGTAACGGATAACAGGGCGTTTGGATACGTGTGCGGAGCAGAAGGGCAGCATCAGTTCTTCGCCATCAAGACGGCACAACAGGTAACACTCACAAATAAACGGGCACACAAGCTCACACAAATACCGCATTAAACAGCGGAGACAAATGGGCAACTATGTCAATGTCTCTCTGTCCCTTTACAGGCAGAGCCCCTGGTCATTGATCTGAAAGATCTCTTCCAGGTCATCTTCAACCAGAGGAAGAAAGCGGCAGATACCTCACAGAAGGTAACTGGTTCAGCAGCAGTTGACTTTAAACTGGAAGTGTGTGTGTGTGTGTGTGTGTGTGTGTGTGTGGGGGTTGGGGCTCAGAAGTTAGACGGTGAGAACATTTATTTTCCCGAAAGAAAAGCATTTTGGTGCGGTCATCTGGGACGTGAGGTGTACACTGTTGTGCGCCTCCTGAATTTCAACACTGCCTCTCTGTGTTCTGTTTATGAATCACATCCTGAGACATTCCATTGAAATGATGTGAAATGAACACGTGCCTCAGTGAATTAAGAAAATAAGTATAGTCATTAACAGTCTGCCTCTGTTTCCAGGGGGAAAATGGCTGCACTGTAGTTGAGGTAAGCAATTGGTAGTGCTTGTGTTTTCTTCAAACTGTTTCTCTGACTCTCGTCCCTAAACCTTGTGCTTGTTTTCAGAATGGGAGCGATGCCCTGCTAGGTGTGGGTGGTGAAGTAAAAGCTGCTCAAGTAAGTCTTTCTCTACATTCAATGACGCACCTCTGATTTATAGTCGCTGGGTAAATACAGTATGTTTCTGTTTCTTTTTGACATCCAGCCAGTGGAGCAGCTTGACCTTTTTGGAGACATGTCGACCCCTCCAGACATCCAGTCTCCAAATGTAAGTGTGCTGCCATAAAATGTTCCCTTTATCTGGGAAACATAGTGGAAGTATGTTTAGTCAATGAGGTGCAGCTGGGTATTTACAGCATTATACTTACGAGTGTATACTTTTTAGGCTTCTTGCTAATCGTAGTAAGCTGTAGAAGACTTTTATCCATTTTTTTTTTTTTTTTTTTTTTTTTTTTTTTTTTAAATAGTAATTTAATAAAAAATCTGAAATAATAATAGTTTGCTGCATACTGCTTCTAGTAATGTTTCTAAGATCTGATTTATAAAACAATGGCTTCACTGAATAACATCAGCACCTCCCAGATCATTCCATGTGTATGAACTCAATTTTTAAAAGGTCACAATTCTATTTGTAGGGAGTGTATAAGCTTTTTATAAATATACGTTTTAGACTTAAAAATTATCTTTTAAGAATTGAGTTTATGCCTCTTGTGTACCAATCTCATTGTTTGTCAAACCCTTTTAAAGCTGCCACAAGTAGAATCTATGAAAGAGACATTTTCATTGGCTTTGCTGACATCTGCAGTCTTATACCGGTAGTGTTACATCAGTTGCTCGGCCAGTTCACTAGCTGGGTCTTAAGTCAACGAGCTATTGCTGACTTCAGCATGTTAAAATACTTGCTGTTGTCCAAGGCAAGTAAGAATTTAGTACCAACTTCATTTGGAATATGAAGTTGGAATATGGCCTCTAGACTTTGCTTTACCATGGAATTTAATATGCCAGTGATATTTTGAGTTAAATATTCTACAGGTAGCAGCTTTGAAACGTCTTTTCACACCATGTGATTCATTTTGTTAACACGTGTGTTTTTCTCCTTCTGCAGAACTGACTCATAAATCTATTTTTTTTTTTTTTTTTTTCTCTCCCACTGTCCCTCTCATGTTAACCAGGACTCTAATGATATTCTCTTGCTGGACTTTTCCGCTGAAGTTGACAGCAATCAGAATTACATAAAGGGAAACTCCTTTGTAACTTCCTGTGGCCCTGACCGTAGGGCATCTCCCCAGACAGAGAATCCTTTTTCCTCGACATTTGGCTACTTTCCAACCCCAGACAGTGACCCTTTCAGAGATGACCCCCTTTCTAACTCGCCCGCTTGGTCGGAACCCGATAATTCACTGATCTCAATCGCCGCCACTAATAACCTAAACAGCACTGCTGACAACGCTTATAAGACAATTATTAACGGTGGTTCAAATGGAGACCACGAACACCTCAGTGAGCAGATAAATGGCTTATCCAGTAAGACCATGATCCTCGCTCTCAGTAACGGACAGTGGCCACTAGGGGGCACAATAACTCAGGGCAACACAATTACCATGATGGACGGGAATGAATCTGGGACAGCCAAAAACCCGTTTTTTGACTCACCTTTGACAACGTCCCCTTTCTCTAATGGCATAACGCACCACCCGCAACCCCCAGTGACTCATAGCAAGGATTCAGTTGTCATAAGCCCGCCTCCGCAGAGCTCTAAGGCTGGACGAGGTCGAAGGAGCACAAAGGTGAAATTCCATAGCTAGATGAAGCATTGTAGAGTTGCATGTGTGATGCCTGAACATGGGTTTAATGCACATTTCCCAGAGCATACTTGGGTTGCTAACATCTCCCTTTCTCAGCGTTTGGGTGTTATGCATTGGTGTCTGACGGGATGTGCCACAAGACGGTTAAGATGAGATGCAAGGCCTGTAATTTAGAGTTGCATTTAAGGGTTTGATCCATTCTGTCTTCATGCATGCACTGGTGGTCACTTGCTTCTCTAACTGGCTTGAATAAATTACACTTTTGACTGTGCTGCTGAACAATGGACTGTACCTGTTTATCTCCTCTGCTCTAAATCTATTTTCTAACGTTCACGCTTCAGTGATAAAAGCACTGGTAAGTGGCAAAGCATGCATATCAGTTAATGTCATACTGTAGTATTTGAGTCGTCTATAAAACTGAGTTGCAACAATACGTGTGTGTGTATATACACAGTGGGTACAGAAAGTATTCAGACCCCTTTAAATTTTTCACTGTTTCATTGCAGCCATTTGCTAAAATCAAAAAAAGTTTATTTCTCATTAATGTACACTCAGTACCCCATCTTGACAGAAAAAAACAGAAATGTAGAAATTTTTGCAAATTGTTTTTAAAAAAGAAACTGAAATATCACATGGTCATAAGTATTCAGACCCTTTGCTCAGTATTGAGTAGAAGCACCCTTTTGAGCTAGTACAGCCATGAGTCTTCTTGGGAATGATGAAACAAGTTTTTCACACCTGGATTTGGGGATCCTCTGCCATTCTTCCTTGCAGATCCTCTCCAGTTCCGTCAGGTTGGATGGTGAACGTTGGTGGACAGCCATTTTCAGGTCTCTCCAGAGATGCTCAATTGGGTTTAGGTCAGGGCTCTGGCTGGGCCAGTCAAGAATGGTCACAGAGTTGTTCCGAAGCCACTCCTTTGTTATTTTAGCTGTGTGCTTAGGGTCATTGTCTTGTTGGAAGGTGAACCTTCGGCCCAGTCTGAGGTCCAGAGCACTCTGGAAGAGGTTTTCTTCCAGGATATCTCTGTACTTGGCGCATTCATCTTTCCTTCAATTGCAACCAGTCGCCCTGTCCCTGCAGCTGAAAAACACCCCCATAGCATGATGCTGCCACCACCATGTTTCACTGTTGGGATTGTATTGGGCATGTGATGAGCAGTGCCTGGTTTTCTCCACACATACCACTTAGAATTAACGCCAAAAAGTTCAATCTTGGTCTCATCAGACCAGAGAATCTTATTTCTCATAGTCTGGGAGTCCTTCATGTGTTTTTTGGCAAACTCTATGCGGGCTTTCATATGTCTTGCACTGAGGAGAGGCTTCCGTTGGGCCACTCTGCCATAAAGCCCCGACTGGTGGAGGGCTGCAGTGATAGTTGACTTTGTGGAACTTTCTTCCATCTCCCTACTGCATCTCTGGAGCTCAGCCACAGTGATCTTTGGGTTCTTCTTTACCTCTCTCACCAAGGCTCTTCTTCCACGATTGCTCAGTTTGGCTGGACGGCCAGGTCTAGGAAGAGTTCTGGTCGTCCCAAACTTCTTCCATTTAAGGGTTATGGAGGCCACTGTGCTTAGGAACCTTGAGTGCTGCATAAATTATTTTGTAACCTTGGCCAGATCTGTTCCTTCGACGACATGCACTGTGAGCTGTCAGGTCTTATATAGACAGGTGTGTGCTTTTCCTAATCAAGTCCAATCAGTTTAATTAAACACAGCTGGACTCCAATGAAGGAGTAGAACCATCTCAAGGAGGATCAGAAGAAATGGACAGCATGTGAGTTAAATATGAGTGTCACAGCAAAGGGTCTGAATACTTATGACCATGTGATATTTCAGTTTTTCTTTTTTAATAAATTTGCAAAAATTTCTACATTTGTTTTTTTTTTTTTTTCTGTCAAGATGGGGTGCTGAGTGTACATTAATGAGAAATAAAATGAACTTTTTTGATTTTAGCAAATGGCTGCAATGAAACAGACTGAAAAATGTAAAGGGGTCTGAATACTTTCCGTACCCACTGGATATATATATTGTGTATATGATATTTATGTTCTATTCTCTGTGAATAGTCCACAGCAAGTGACCTGTTTGGAGCAGAGCTATTTTCTACTCCGGCTCACTCTGAAGGGTCGTCTTCCTCGGGGGACTTTTTCAACAGTACACCTGCGAACTCCACTCCCTCCTCCATAGCTGCTCTGGGTAATACACGGGAGGGGAACTTTGTGTCTTATCCGTATGTTACAATGTCTTTATGTGCCATTCCTTTTTAAACTTTCCCATTCTTTATATTCAGGGAATCTTCAGTTGGGTTCTCCAGCTACCACAGGTATCCCCGCTGCAGGCATGTGGGGAGCCTCCATGGCTCCGCCTTCAATGTTCACTATGCCAGGAGTGACCGCTCCAGGGCCAAGGCCCGCTTACCCACATCCATCTGCCTACACACATCCATCTGCCTACCCACATCCATCTGCCTTTGGTGGCCTACCCATACCACCCACAGCCTGGGGTGCGCAGGTGCCACCTCAGTTTGGTGCCGCGCCTTTGTCTCCGCCCCACCTCAACTGGGCCCAGCCTCCACCAGCTGCTCCCGGTTGGGGTCAGCCCATCACGACCAATCCTTTCCAGCCTGGCCTGTTCCCTGCAATGGGTGACCAGCATGGTCCGTCACGCCCCCCTCCTCGGCCGCCTGTTAAGGAGGCACCTCCGAAGGTAGAGAACAGCGCCTTCACAGCTTTGGACCCCCTTGGAGATAGAGAGAAGAAGGCTGGAAAGGACATGTTCAAGGACTTCCAGATTGCCAAACCCCCTGCCATCCCAGCGAGGAAAGGGGAGCTAGTGTCCAACTCTGCCCCCGGAAGCAACGAAGCCGGGGCGTTCGATCAGTACTTTAACAGCAAAGTGGGCCTGGCTCAGGATAATGCAGATTATGATGACTTTGACATCAATCAAATGTCACAAACTGTTAACGGTACACCAACCAACATTTTTCAACTTGACATGTACTTGACTGTGAGACTTGTCACTGATTGTGTCCTCTGTTTTAATGTGCCTGATTTAGATGTTCCTAAACCAGCGCCTGCTCTCGCTGCAGCTCCGGGCTTTAACCCCGGCCTCCTCAATGCCGCCTTCTCTTCCGCTCCCATCGCAAACAACTCTGCACCAGCCCAGGGACTCAATCATGACATGTTTGATCAAGCATTTGGGGCCCCAGATTCCAGTCTGTTTGGAGCACCGCCTGCAGCCATGGTAAAGAGATTTATACAGATGCATAATTAAACCTTATCCAGCATCAGAAGTCAGAAATCATTTGTAATGTGTGGCCTTTTTATTTTTCTTCTTTTTCCTTAACCTTACAGCAGACTGCTGCAGTTGGTCAGTCTTCTGGTTCAACAGCGGCTTTTGGGGATCCTTTTGGAAATCCCTTTGCTTGATCGTAACTTTGTGCATAAGTAAGTATATGTTCATATTTGATTATTGCTTGACTTACGTCATCAATACAGAATGAACACCATTTTCACTTTTTTTCCTCTTCTCTCTGCCCTCGCAGTTAAGATGGAGCAAATGGAAATCTTCACATGGAATAACATCTTTGGGACAAGCTGCTACGACGTGCGCGAGACAATCCAAAAAAAATGAACTTTTCTAACTCTTGTCCCTGACCCACCCTTTTGTTTACACCTCCACCTCTGATGTTTTTGTTTTTTCTATCCAATCAGTAGTTTCCTTATTTCTAAAGACCGCTGATCTAAGAAGTAAATGTTATGTCCTGATCTGCTGAAGAAAGAAATGTGGTGTGTGTGTGAGAGAAGGTGCGTCCAAAGAGGTTCACTGCTGATGCTGTCTGTGTTTAATAAATAAAATAATTCAATCATAAAGCTGTGAGGTTTTGTCAAGTCCATTTTACTTCTTCAGATACTGGAGGTTTGACAGTCAAACAGATATAGATGTTTTTATAAGCTATGTCTATGATTACTAAAGCTCCAAATTGTTAAAAATGTTTAATAACCACCTAATGGAGTGTAGAAACCTAAAAAGATCCAATAAAACAGTGAAAAATATGCTATATTACAAGTAAAAGTACCATCAGCTAAATTTACTTCTAGTATCAAAAAGTAATAACTAAACAAGAGAATGGCCCCTTCAGTGTATTGTTATCGCTGTTGTAATTATTGTATTGCATTAAATATGACTGAGTGTGCAATCACTTTTGTAGCTTGTTGGGGTGGAGATACTACTTTATATACAGATGGGTTGTTTAATTTGTAGCAATGCATCATATTTATAAGCTCATTGCTTTTGTATCTACAATTTTAATCTACAAACTCAATCATCAAATAAAAGCTGTGGAGCTAACAAAACAGGGACATAAGTATAAATCGGCATTAAATGAAACAAATCCAGTCCAATAAAAGTATCTTAAAAGTGCAGTGCTTTAGTACTCTAATCTTTAATACTCCTGCTCAACATATTTAAAGACTGAAGGATTGTTTACACAAGAAAAACATGTTTAATTGGACTCTTCTTTAATTGGATATATACATTTATTCATATATATATATGTATCGACACACACGCACAGGTACACTTATTGATATTACATATACACTAAGTACATAAGCACATTTTATTGCTAATATTTCTGTACTAGTGTTTTTAGAATGGTTTAATTTTTGTATTGGTGTATTTTTACTTTTAGGCCTACTTAAAAAAAACCATCTTAATATTTGTACCTCGCTGAGTATTACATACACTATTTTGCAAGCCTACTGCAGACTGTACAATACAATACAATGCTCACACGTTTGGTCTTGCCACATCCACCGCTTTGCAGCAATCCGACTACATTTCCCACAAGCCCCTATTACACACGAAAATTGCGCGTCATGAAAAACATGGCGGACTAGTGTGTTCATGGGGTCCGATACTTGCTACCCGTCGTCGATAAACGAAAGCTTATTTCTCCCAACAAACGACATATTCTTGAACAGGTACGTTGTTAACAGATAAACACCATATGTAGACGTATTTAAACTATAAATGTATTTGTCTCAGGCTCACAACATTAGCAATAGGACGGTCCGAGTCAGGAAGACACGGATAATACAAGTGTTATCATGCGAGTTTGAGCTCAGCTTAGTGCGCTTTTTGACTTGTTTTCACCCTTATTCACGCATTGTTGTTTCTGTCTTGCATTGGTATGAATACACCTTATGAGCTAATTTAACCTCTGGTGGTATTATTTTTCTTTACGGCCAGATTTAAGACTTATCCAGTGTCAACGTGACTGGTGTTGTCTGCTGACAGAATAACGTTAGCTTAGGTCTGCACAAAAGTCAGTTTCACAAAAGAAGGTATTCTCCCTAGCGCTACAGCGATAAGTGATGGTTTAGTGCATCAAGTACTATGTTGTAGTACTTAACGTTACACGTAAAGTAGTCATTGTCGAATAAACTCATCAAAACTGGAGTCTGCGGTTATCAGCTCCTCAAGATTATGCAAGTGGGACAAAAAAAATGTCAGTCTGTCAAAGAATGTTAAGTATTTTACACTACAGTCACACAACCAAAATGTTGATTGTGACTGTACTTCAGGGCATGACATCATTGTACTTGTTCTGCATTGACTCCACAGCTTGTTGTGCTGATGCAATGACGCTGTAATGCTGCCCAGCAAAGTGATAACGATGAAACAGGGAGACGTGTTTGTGCTGATATGATTGTATATGTGTTTGTATTCTAAGGACTGAACATATGATTGAGTTTAGCACATCGAAACTCTGTTATGAAACAACTAGATATAAGAACAATTATTCAATTATTGATGCAGTCATATCTGTTAACTTGTGTGAGTTGTATGTAAAGCACGTAGCGTTGGTCATATCCCTATCAGTAATATTTCCCTTTGAGCCTGTTTTAATACTGATGCACCTTCCTGTGTGTTTTCAGGGCGAAATGTTTCGTCGGTCAAGATTTAGTGCTCGGCCCAATGTCGTTAAGGCCGGTAAAACGCCTCAGGAAGCCCCTTCAGCCAACCAGGAGGCCAGTGAGACCCCCAAAGACGTTGGTGAGAGCAGCGCTGCTGCTGCAGTGACAGACATCCAGTCTGTTGTGACCCCATCAGAAAAAGCTACAGCCCCAGGGTGAGTGTCGAGCATTAAATAGCATGATTACAACTTGTGTTACGTATAACAAATGTATAACTATTCTCACTACTGTTTAGGGATGGCAATGACCAAAATGGGGAAGGTGCCAGCTCCTCAGCAGCAGTCCAACGAAGGAAGCGGTTTTCCATCAAGCCCAAAGTGGCCCCAGGCCGCCCCGCCACAGTTGCTCGAATGCAGAAATCCCACGTCAAGGCTGTCTCTGAAACTCCGATTGAAGTCCCCGTCTCAGACCGTGACAAGCCAACTACGTCCAGCCAAACTGGGACTACGGTCGCCCCTCAGAGACTCCAGTCCCCAAGGAGACGGAGGCCTTCAGAAGAGAGCAAGCAGCCCAAAATGCAACATAAACCGGCCCTCATCCCTTCTGACAGTTCAGAGCCTTCAGCTGACTCTGCAACAAATCTGCCAGCGGACAGTGGCAAGGAATTAGAAAGCACGTCAGACAGTCAAGTCAAAGGAGTTCCTTCCAGACTACCAGATAAAGTCCCCCCTTCTCTGCCAGACAAAGAAGCTATCGCGTTATCAGAGAAAGCCAAGACCCTAGTATCATCTAAGAGTAGGCTTTCTATCTCAGCACCAGCGTTGTCCTTGAGTAGACTCCTGAATGACCCATCAGACTTGCAGAGGATTGCAAAAGCCCAAAAACTCAGAGCGTTGCTCAGACAGGAGATGCATAAAGAAAAGGTAAGCTCAGATTATTCACTTGTGTACTGCTGCTTTAGTAACACATTGATTAGATACATACTGTTGGATATATCTTCTAGAGTCATTACATTAAAAGAGTGTTATCATTTGATTTTGCAGAAACTCAAAAAATCAAAAACACGTGCAAAGGAATTTACCTTAGATCCTGCCAAAATGACCATGAGGGACCTCATCCGTTATCTACCACAGTCCAACCCCATGACGTAAGTGTCTCTTCTGCAACTTAGTCAAGCTTGTGTCACATTTAATCCTGATCTCCACAGATGAAGTTTTCTATTGATTCATTTTTTTTTTGTGGTTCCTTTCTTGTCTTATGTGACTATAATTTGCGTTTTTGTTTTCAGATCGAGTGTAGAAGAATCAGCTCAAGAGAATGAGACTGTGGTCCCACCTTCTCCAGGAAAAGAAGTGTAAGTTTATCCCTGAAATCTCATTCCATTATAGTTGTATTGATCATGCAAACGATACATACAGCATTAAATTCTTTCTGACTTTCCTTATTCATATCCAAACAATTGGGGAAAAAGAGATATGATATTGTTATGTCAGTTAAATACAACATGGTTTTGTCATTTGAACTCTAAAAATAAGTTAAAATGATTCAATAACTGCGGGAGCCATTAAAAGCTGCCGTGATTCACTTTCATGAAAAATGTACTTATTCCTACAAATTTATAGAAAATAAATGTTTTTTCTTCAAACCAAAAACTGTATATTGAAACAAGTACTAATAAAACTGACATTGGACATCATAAGTGTGCGTAATGAGACAATCATGTTGCGTGTAAACCAACCCTCTTCCTTCTGCCGGTTGTTTTCAGATGTAAACCCTGCAGTTCACCAGAGAGAGAGCAGGAAGCTGTGGTCCTCCCTAAATTAGGAAGCCCGAGGGAGGGGTATGAAGATGAAGAGGAAGAGGAAGATGACGACGGCACGTTGGTTCCTCAGGTCAAAGTAGCCGAGGACGGCTCACTGATCATTGATGAAGAGAGGTCAGTGGGCTTCTATGGGCTATAAAAATGAATGCTTTTTCATGTTTATCTACTTCCTGTAGCTCGGTTATTGTAGATGAAATGTACCACTTTAGTGTTTTATTACAATAATAGGAACTGACTAACGGTGTCTACGAAACATCTGTAACTTCCTCCAGAGATGTGCTTTTTGCTCTTCATATAAATGTTTCTACATTATCGTCATATCCTCTCAAACTGTGTCTCAGCTTGACGGTGGAAGTCCTGCGAGCCAAAGGGCCAAATCCAGCCAACGATCGGGACCCCATCTTTGAGCGCGGCTCCACTACAACTTACTCGAGCTTCAGGAAGGGGACCTATACAAAACCCTGGTCCAGTGAAGGTTCAACCCATATGGATAATACATATAGATAATGAACTATGACATCTTTATTGCACACATTTTGTTCATATTGTTTTTTAATGTCGTGGTTGTTTGCTGTGTTCCATCAGAGACGGACATGTTCTTCCTGGCAGTTAGCATGGTGGGGACAGACTTTTCCATGATTTGTCAACTGTTTCCTCTCCGAGCTCGATCCGAGATAAAGGTTAGTGATGAACACAGATAAACATGTATTCATAGAATATGATATGAAGAAGCAAAACAATGAAAAGCTTGTCTGTATTCACTGTATTCATTTTGAACTTTCAGAACAAATTTAAAAAAGAAGAGCGAGAGAATTCCTGGAGGGTTGACAAAGCTTTCCGTACGTATTCAGTAGGACAATATGTTTAGCTAGTTTTATATAATATTTAGTGATTAGTGAGCGACAGATGTTCTTTGTGCAATCTCTGCGTAACATTTATTGACAATTATTTTGTAGGAGAGAGGCGCAAACTGGACATAGAATATTTTTCGAAGCTACTAGAGAAGATTCTGGAAGTTCAGAAAACCAGGAAGAAGCTGAAGTCACTGGCTGGGAAGAACTCACCCAAGAAGACCACGAGAAAGGCAAAAGGTAACCATGTCCTTCCATGCGTGATACTCAGTGAGTTGTGTGTTATTGCTTCATAGCGTGTTATTCTAAGGTAGAGATTTAACAACTGCTCGCCTTGAGTTCGTCTCAGTTCAACAGTCCTTGTGTGTTTGAATTCCTTCAGCAGGCAAAAAAGCTGCAAGGAAGCTGAGTGTTGTGGAGGAGGAAGACGAGGAAGAGCAGAAGGTAATTGCTGCTTTGGAGGAGGAGGGAGAGAAAGAGAACGAGGACCTCTGTAATGAGGGAGGAACTGACGACGTGAAGCCTAAGAAGAAATGCAAAAGAAAGAACAGAGAGGATGCCTTGACTGAGGAACCAAATGACAAGAAAAACAAAACGGGTGAAAAGAGCAATGAACAAGGTACCGGAGCATTCAGTCAATTTATCAAACATTTCTGGATGAAAATTGGTGGATTTATGAATGCAGGTTGTTAAATAACTTCTAGAAAAGTAATGCATGTGATCCTAGGGAAAGTAATATTTATACTTGTTGCTTTTATGTACTCAGATGAGGCCTACACACCTGGGGACAGTGAGGCAGCACTTCCTGAAGACTGTCCAACATCAGACATGTAATTAAACTTGAAAAATTCTGTTTTAAAGAGAGAACATTTCGCATCTTCGTTTGACACTAAAACTCTCTTTTTTGTTGTAATATTCAGATCTGAAAAGACCGAGAGTGTGAATGAAGCCAAGGATGCCAAGATCAAGCCAGCTAAACTCTCCCGAGGCCGAGGCCCAAAACCACTGCTGCCTTTGGGCCGGAAGTGGGGTAAAAAGCCCCCACCACCCTCCACAAAGACCAACGACACTGCGTCAGATAAAGGGGAGGAGAGTGTAATTGACGGAGGTGCTGAAGACCAGGTTATTATTTCTTTCTTTTCACAGTTTAGAGTCATCGGATATTTCTCAACATTATTACTTTGGCTTACTGAAAGTTATGCAAACTTCTCAGGTAAATAAAGATGCCTCACCTTTAAGTCAAGCTGATAAGAAGAAGTCAGCCAATGATGACTCTGAAGAAGAGGATGCCACCGTTCAACCTCCGAGGCCTACCAGGTACAGTATTTCATGTTTTCATGACATGATTTTAACACTGCAGCAGAAACATTCCTATCACCCCCCCCCCCCCCCCCCCCCCCCCCCAAAAAAAAAAGACTCTGGATGTATTAGTATTGGAGCATTTCATCTTCATCAGTGTGTGTTTGTGTTTTATAGGTATGGGAGAATGCCCAAACCCATCAAGCTGTTGAATTACCCCGCCAAAGAGGCTGCATCTGAAGCAACTCCTGCCTTACCCGAGGGGTCCGCTGCTTCTGCTGCCAGGCCTAAACCCAAATGCACAGCCAAGAGGGGAAGATCATCAAAGCTACAATCATCCCAAGAGTCCAAAAAGCCTAAACTAGTCACCCTCAGGGCTTCTCACTCAGACTACAGTGATGATGAGGAGGAACAGCAGCGAGAAGAAGATGTGGAGGAGGAGGAGCCCGCTGTATGTAGCTCCAGAAAGGACAGCACTGCCCCTGTCTTTGTGCCTGCCGGCCTGCGCTCCCCACGGCCTGTGATTTCAGAAGTGGAGGAGACAATGGAGGAGGTATGTGAAACTGTTTCCTATCATGCCGTGCACAGATGCACACCATCCATTCATTTACATTTATCTTTTGTGTTTTTCGCATTAGTTTTTCTTTGTGCATGGTTTTTCATTCCATAATTCAAAGCCTCCACTCTGACTCCCATCCCCCCCCCCCCCCCCATCCCACACGTAGCTTGATATCTTGGCCAATATTCCTGATGTGTTCGGCATCTCCCAAGATGCACTGTGCCCTGATGCCTCTTGCGAGCGGGCACAAAATGAGACAGGCACAGATGAACCCTGTGACCATCAGTTGGACCTGCTTGTTGTAAGTGTATAATGCCGAAAACATAGTACAAGGGACATTAAATCATTAACCCCAGTTACACTGATTTAATATAACATTATGTCAAAGTTCTGATGTGATCTATCCACATGTTATAGCTGCTAAAGGGCCAACATTGTGCCTTGATCATTTTCTTCAAATATCTCCCTCTTTTAAGTTTTAGTGCATGCATTTGGTTTGCGTTCTGATCACACACTTGTATTGTGACTTGGCTAATTTAAATGAAAAAAAGACAGTTGTTTCATTCAGACAATGTTGCATGCTGTTTGCATGCATGAGCTCAAAGCAACCTTTGTGGTGTCCAGATGTAAACAACTGACAAAAGACGTTGACAGAAAATTTCAAAGAAGTGTAACTAGGGCTTCTGTAATACAGGTTTTCCATATACAGCACATGTTTTAGTTTGGCCTATAGGGGAAGTTTTTTTTATGTGACTTACAATATATTTGTTTCCCTTCCAGGATGTGATCGACCTCCTTACTTCAGACCCCACAGAAGGTATGTTAAAGAGACATTCTGAGTAGCTCCCAGTGGCATCTATATTTATATGGTCTCAAAGTCTCATACATTCTTTTTTTTTTTTGTGGTCTTTTTGTTTTAGTATCTGAGGCCGAGAGCTACAATGAGGCCGCTCAAACCCTGTTGACTATCGGCCACCTGGCTCCCCTCCCTCAGTCAGCACAGAATCAAATAGACATTCAAGATCATAAAGCAGGTTAGAGACACAGAGGCCAAAATGATTGCATTCCTTTTTAGATCAAATTACAGTGAGTTTAAAATGTGCCATTATGTTTAATTGCAGGGACAACTTTAGCCGATGTGAATGAAACCAGCCAACACCTGGAAGAAGAGACTGAATCAAAGGCTGCTGTACTTGAGGAAGACGGCGTCGCTCCTCTTCTGTCTACAACTTCTGATCATGGAGTAAAAGAAACATCAGAAACTGTGACCATTGTGGAGATACTAAACAGCACAGCGGACAATCATGACATTTCCGTTATTGAATCCACTGATCAGAGGACTGGTTCTGATATGGACCCAACCTCTCAATTGCAAAGTCCAGAGAGCTCAAAGAAAAATTTTCCACAGACCAAGAAAGGACGCACATCCAAGGTGAAACCAAAACCTAACCTAGGCCAAGCCTCCAGGACTGCTCTGTTAAAATCCCAACCAGGGACATCAACAGTAAGGAGAGCTGAGAAGAGCCACACAGTTGCTCCTGAGCTTGCTCAAACCGCAGAGACACTAGCGTCTGCAGAGGAAACCCCTAAGATAGCAGAAACATGTAAAAACATGTTAAAAGATGACATTTCTTATATTGAAGTCAAACGTACAGAAGAGCCATCGGGCAGTCGGAAGAGGTCTGTTAGTGAAGGACAATCCCACGCAGCAACATCACAGAGTGCATCAGAAAACCAGAGTCACTACTTCTCCGAAGCCCAGTTGGAACCCAGTTTGGAACAGGCAACCGGAGACTCACGGTCAACATCTGGGTCCACAGATGAAGTGCTGATGTCTCATGTTGGGACAATTGAAAGTATTTGTAATAATCAGGTAACATCTGACTCAGCAGTCACAGAACCCCAGACTGGACAAGGGTCAAACATAGACTCAGCCCCAGTCCAGGAGAGCAGTGACCATCCTGCTCCATGTGTCACAGCTGTAGAGGAGTTACCCGTCAGTCAGAGAGAAGAGAGTGAAGTGGGATCTACTCACCAGAGGAAGAGTCGATTCCAGAAACCCAAAGTCAACTTAGCACAAATATCAAGAACTGTGCGTTCTAAACCTCAAACCACAAAAGATACCGTAGAGGAAGACTCCAACACAGCTCCAAACCCCAAGTTCCATGAAAAAACAATAGCAGAAGTGGAAGCAGAGCCAACTTGCCTCACCTCTCCTGAAAAACCAAGTCGTCCTGATCCTGCTTCAGATTTGATACCACTGGTGGATTTAGGGACTACTCTCACAGCCACAGAAGAACTGTCTACAACTGAGGAGAAAAAGACAGATGGTGAAGTTGTTGGTCAGGTAGAATCAGATGCAGTAACATCACATCAGAGTGTCTCAGAAAACCAGAATGTTTCCGAAGCCCAGTTTACACCGAGGAGGGAACAGGCCACAAGAGATACAATGCCCATATTGGAGTCCTTAGATGAGAAACTGATGGCTAATTTTGGGGCAGCTGAGAGTAGCTGTAACGATCCACAGTTGACATCCGACTCAGCAGTCACAGAATCCCAGACTGAACAAGGGTCAAACATAGACTCAGCCCCAGTCCAGGAGAGCAGCGACCATCCCGCTCCATGTGTCACAGCTGTAGAGGAGTTACCTGTCAGTCAGAGAGAAAAGAGTGAAGTGGGATCTACTTTCCAGTCTATGAGACGTCGATTACAAAGAGTCCAACCCAAACCCAACTTACCACAGACGTCAAGAACTGCGAGGTCTAAACCTCATACCACAAACGCCCCCGTCACACCCATGCAGCATGCGGACACACCCTCCAGCCAGACTTCAAGGCCTGAATTCACTGATAACACAACAGCAATGGAAGAAGCACAGCCAACTTGCAGTACCACCCCTCCTGAAAAAACAAGCCAAATTAAAAGTACCAGCACTGCTTCAGTGCCGGAACCATCAATGGAATTATGCTCTCCTCATACAACCACAGAGGGAATGTCTTCAGCTGAGCAGCAAAAGACAGATGCTGGACGTGGACTTGACTCAAACTCAAAGGGCTCAGAACAAAATGTTCTTCAAAGAAGGCCACGCTTTTCTAAGGTCAAACCCAATTTAGGATCGTCCCCAAGAACGACACGCGCAAAACTGCAGTCAAGTGACATCAGTAAACCCCCAGAACAGTGCCACATGGACGCCTCTTTAACCTCACAACAGCCTGTGGACAACAACAATGCACAAACAGAGCAGGACCTCACAGGGACAGACGACCAGCACTTGACATCAACACGTTGTTCATTACGTACAGAACCTTTCAGCTCAACAAAGTTAGGACCTGCAGAGCCTGAGAAGTCACTAGACGGCACAAATGATAAGGTGGAGGCTGTACCTGCCTCACAATGGGAGCGCAAACGGGACATGTCCATTAGAGCTACAGAGTCAAATACCCAACCAACAGATGATCCAACACGCCCCACTAATACACAGTCCACAGCCGATCCAAAAGAAAGCACTCAGCAGCCACTTCCAGAGAATGACTGTGAGGCACAGAGTCCAGATGCAGTCCAACAATGTTCTGAAGGGAATCAAACAGCTGCCCAGAAGTAAGACACTAAAGCATATTGTCCTGGTTCTGTTCTCAAAAAGACAATATAAATACTGTTGTCATGTCTCATTTACAGCCTAATGTTTTGAATGAATTATTAAAGAGTTATTAGTTTCTCTTGTAACAGAGTGCGTTTTCCACTTAAAGCACTGATGGTAATCAGTCGGAGCCAACCGACTCCCCCTCAAGAACAGCTCCACAGACTCGTAGAGGCCGGCTTATTAAACCCAAACCCAGACTGGTTCGCAGCCGCCCTCCACAACCCCGACAAGATCAGAATACAAAACAAGCAGAAAAAGGTTTGACTCCTTTTTAGAAGAAAAGTTCCCTAACCTCAGAGAATACTGAGCAGATCTTCAGCATTACTGCCATCTATGACCCTACAGTGCCCGTGTTGATCGCTAACGGTTCTTCTTTTCCACCGATTTTGGTGCTTGCTCAGAAGGTGAGGATGCTTCAGTTTGCCACAAACTTGTGTCTGAACTCCGACCTGACATCCCAGACCCAGCAGATGGAGATATTGAACAATGCAGTAACCAAAACTCCTCTCCAAAGGATCCTGGGTCCTCGCTGGGCTGCTTGACTCAGGTAAGATATTATTAAATATTTTCAGGAGTGTATCTTGTGAGCATTACATGTATGATGTTGTGTTAAGCTCGTTAGTAGTTGGCCATGGCTAGATATGTAACAACATGTTTATAACATATAGCAATATGTTTTTTACCGTGTTTATATTGTATGGCAGTGATTCCCAACCATCGGTAATTGTACCCCAGGTGGTACTTCTGCAGTTGCCAGTGGGTGTGTGAAAAGATTGAGTCAGCTTTAACAACAGAACATTACAGGTAGTCGAATGAAAGTAATGGATAAGTGGTTGAAGGCATAGGCACTCCTATGTGGTACGTCTGATGAGTTTAGGAACACCTGCTGTTGAGTCCCAACACAACTAGTACACCCAGTCATTGCACTGGTTAATAAGGCATCTTTCGCTAAGGCAGTATTTCCTCAAGCATTTTCTGTCGTTCCCCCTTTCGAATGACATTTCCAGATATAAAATACACACTAGTCTCTCATCATGTCTCAATGAATTTACTGAGATTTACGTTTTTCTTTAGTTAATTACTGTCAGTTAGTTCTTCATCACATTCCCGCTCGGTCATGCAGCGCCCCCACCTGTCATGCCGCCATACACCTTGAGGACAACTGGACTAATGGTGGGAGATAATAGTCGAGAAGATCTAATTTAAGGAACAATCCTGAAATGTGTCTCATTTCTCTCCCTTCACAATGACAGGATGCATCAACATCAAATACAGACGAGACCCAAAACCATCTAAGTCTCTCAATAGTTCCAGAGAGTAAGTCATATTTCAGCTGATTTTGTCCTGTGAGTTATTTAAAGTATATGCACCATGGTTTTTACGTAACACTCCTCTCACTTTCAATCTCAGTGTTGTCGCAGCAGGAGCCTTCTGATCCAGATGAACCGTTCTTCATCCTCTCTCTGACTGAGATCCCAGTCTGCCCATTAAGCGAGGCGGTGGACAGTGTGCCTGAACACCTCCCTTATCTTCCTGTAACTGATGCGTCAATAGAGCAACAGAGGTCAGTGCCTGCCTTTTATCAGAGGGTCATGCCGTCCATGCATGCGTGAATCTTTTTTTAAATTGTTTTGTCTGATTCTACAACTTTCCTCGCTCCTCATCAGCGTTCCTGGAGAGAGTTCGACAGCAGCAGGAGAAGGGCCTCTCTCCGGGCCTGCGTCCCTGGAGGAGAGTGGTGAGACGGGCCTCGTCAGTGTACAAGATGTTGGGCCTGACCCAGCTGCACGTGTGGTAAGTGACGTTGTAAGAAACCATGTGTAGCTGCAATGTGATAAAATGTCTGCATTTTTATTTACATTTTGTTTTTCTCAGACACAACAGGATTGGATCATGGAGAATCCAGTGGAGCCACATGGTAGAGTGATTGTGTTACACTGTCATTTATGTAAACTAATGATTAATGTCATAATACTGATGGTAAGTGTTGATTGTTTTGTGTTTGTGGAACAGAGAGTACTACAGTCCATCCATCTAAATTATCAGAGACCCTAGAGAATAATGATGAGATGGAAATTCCTCCTGTTAAACCTGATGGACCGCTGGGCACTAGAAGAAGAGGTATACAGGACATAAATACTTACTCATCACATGCACTCTCAGCAAATTGAGCACTTCTTTTTCATCATGTACATGTTTGTCCTATAATCAGGCAAAGTGCAAGTTAAGCCCAAGACTTCAAAGAGGAAACAAGCCAGCAAGACCCTCGCTACCGAGCACTCAGAGCTTCCTGGGCCTTCTCTGCAGCCAGAAGCATGTGATGACGTTGTCACTGAGCCACAGAAAGGAAGTGGTGATCATGTAGATGTTGAAAAGGAGACTCTGACAGGTGGGGACCACCCTGAGGATAGCAGCTCAGGAGCACAAACTACTCGGACTCGGGTGACTGGAAGTCGGAATAGGTGAGAACAATCGGTTAAAGAAATCCTTCATTGAAATGTGAAGACTTCCCCCAGTTTTCATCTATCAATTGTAGTTAAACAGAGTTCCAACGCAGCCTGGAAAACCTGGAAAACAATTTCCCAATCAGTACAAAGTCATGGAAAATGATTTCAATGTTTTTTTCCTTTATGAACTACCAGGATATCTATCAGAGCTCCCCAAAACGGATTACATTGCTGCCTGAAAGTCATGTTATGTATGTCAGGATCATATGTCAGGATCATATTAACGGTCAAATGGTACAAAACATTTCAAGTCAGTTAAACTTGCAAATGACAATTCACCTGCTGCCTTGAAAATGCAAGTTAACTCAACTTGAAGATTGCCTTTGATTTAACGAAGACATTTTAAGTTGATTTAACTACAATGTTCGAGTTGTCTCAACATTGTTTTTTTAGTTGTAAGAGTTGATTGGATTGAACTTTTTGTCACAAAGAATTGTTTTACATTATCAGTTCAAGAAAACTTTTCTTACCTCGTCAAACAAACACATTTCTGCATTACTGTAACTCACAGTTTTATGTTACAATAACTCAACCATGTGTATACAACTTGCCATTTCAAGTTAAGAGGATTTAAATTCCAAATTTGTTTCAACTTACATATTAAATGTATCTTGTCAGAGTTAAAGAGAAGAAGTAAATGAACACAACTAAATAGGACTGTGATGTTTTACAGTGTAGTTAAATTAGTTAGCGATATAAAAAGTTAGCATAGTTGGTTCAGCTGCTAAAGTTGAATGTGCTTGCTAGCTTGTTTTGCCACCTAAAAGTGAAGGTTGGCTGCGAAGTTATTAACGACTCTGGCTCACCTAACCTGGACCAGCATGATTCCGCTATTCTCCTTTAAGGGACACGCCTTTCGCTTTTTTTACGTTACGTGAAGGCCAACGTATTTGCTTTGGAAAGGTAGAGGCGAGCAGAAGAATAGTGCACTCTCACCACTAGATGCGATTAAATCCTACACTCTGCTCCTGTTTAACCTGTTTAACTGAAACCATTAATTGGTTAAATCTTTATTGTAGGTTAAGGATTAAACGGTTCATTATTTACATCCCTAGTTCACCTCAATGGTTAATATAATTCTTGGTAAATGATCTCTAGAAATTAGTGAGGACCCCGTTAAATGTTAATTCCTTTTTGTTTTCCAATACCTGACAGAAAAGCCAAAGGCTTCCCCCCAATAATGTCTGAGACAAACATCACGGCCCCCGCAGGCGATTCTCCACCTGGCAAAGGCACCTCCAAGGGCCCGAAGCTCAGAACTCCTCGTGCAGCTGGAAAACGATCTACGCCAGCGCCTGTAGCCTCAACATCACGTGACGTCGCTCCCACGCGCAGTGCGACACAGCTGACAGAAGACACCCACTCGACGTCCTTCACCACTTCACAGACGGAGGTGGACGTCGAACAGACCTCTGAGCACAGCCGAGTCACAACTCCTAACACTTCTCTGTGTCCAGCCGAGGTAAGGAGGGAACAAGTGGAATTCATATTCACCCATGATAGAGTTGATCACAGCTGATTCATTGTTCTTCTTTGTTGCAGGTTTCAGCTTCTCAGCAGAGTGACTCTGTGGAGAGCAGCTCTATAGAGGAGCCCACCAGTGTGTCTCAGTACTTCCTATGTGACATTTTTACAGAAGTGGAAGAGGGATGACGGCTGTAGAGAGGTGGAGTGAAAGCGGGTGGCTTGCCTTTTTAAAATTAAGTTATGTCTGTAGGTTAATTTGTGACCAAAAGCCTGTTTTGTTTTGTTGCTTTCAGTTGTAATTAAGGGATAAAGATATATTGACTATACTTTCACAAGCACTTTGTATATATTTAGTAGTTTCCATTAGTGAAATGCCTTTTTTTTATTTTATTAACAAACAATGTTACACCATTAATAACCAGAACACTGGTGAATCACTTGAGTCAAAGACGTGGAAGCATTTATTCACTATGTTTAAATCCTCAGATTCCCTTATTTGGTTATTAAATACCTGTGAAAATGTAAATATTGTATAATAGCAAATAGGGTTTTTGGATATTTTTCTTTTCCATATCTGTTCCTTTTTAATACTGACAGCAACACCAGTCTCAGGAAAACATATTCAAACGACGATATGTATTTTTGTGCTAAGTTTTGTTTGTATTTGAGAAAAAACAACGTCTTAAAATTTGCTTTTATTAAAAAAAACGTAACATTAACATTAACATTAACATTGCATCATTATATCTTGTAAATGCACCCCAAATACAGAGCAGAGGAAGTCACACTTTATTTCAGGAGAATGTTCCATCAGTTAGCTTTCATTGAGACATTCTCTGGTGCTGCATATAGATAGTGTTGTTCAGCTCAGTGTTCAAAGAGGTCCTTGTACAGATTCACAGCATTCATATTACTATGTTTGATACTTGAAACCAAAACACATCATGTGTTCTCTTCCTGAAATGTTTCATTGGTTTATTAAAAGTAAAACATGGAACTCTGTAAGATCTGAATAAAAATGTATTCTTCCACCGCCGCTTGATTCAGTCTTTTATCGGCACTTTGCTGGTTTTTGTGCGTCTGTGCCGGCGGTGGCCGTGTGGCTGCAGGGATAGTGTCCTCGTGGTTTGTCCGTCTGTCCGATCCATATTTAGGAACACGATAACTCCGGAACGCCTGGAGTGAATTTCTTCAAATGTGGCGCAAACATCCAGCTGGACTCAAAGATGAACTGATCCGATTTTGGTGGTGAGAGGACAAGGTCACTGGCCTCAAGACTTACTTTTTGACCGTAGCTCAAGAATTGATATGCTAAATATAACATTTTCACACAAATGTCTAATAGGACAAAATGATGAAGTTATGATATGGGCAACTACTTTTCACTTTGGTACGGATTCATAGAAACTCTAGTGTTGTATCTCTTTGTAGCATTACATTATTTTACTACAATTAGCTTGTATTGAATATTAAACGTTGGTTGTTTTTTAGCTTAGATAATTGTCTGCTTTTAATGAATGTGTTTTGAGATGCTGTAACTATTCAGTAGATTATATAGTGTTCTTGTGAATCACTGTATTTATGAATTCATGAATGCATGTGATACGGCTGACGTAATAGAAGGCTTGAGCCTCTAATCCCTCACACTGCAACCTCTTGTAGTGAGGCTTAAGACTGTTTTGATCTCTCTGTTGAGTAACTGACTGCACCGTCCACAGCTCCACTCCAACACTCAGTCAGTCAGCTGTGAGATTAGTCGCTCCACTCACTTAACTGCCTGCTGACTGCAGCAGACCTCTGAAGCACTGCAGAGAAGGAACATGAGCGACAACACCCAGGTAAGTGGGAGAAGTTTAGTTTTTTTTATTTACAAAATGTACCAAATATACCTTTTTTTTAAATTTTACAGGTAATTGTTATTTTACATAGTGGTGCCTTCAGATTATACACCTTGAATGATTGGTGAAAGGTATTGTAATATGGCACAAATGAACCATTTAAGGTTTTTGCTAAATCAGTTAATATAACAGGTTCTGTCATTATTTGGGATAAAAGGAAAATCTCAGTTTATGACCATGGCTTAGGCTCAGAAAACATGACTGAATTATGCAGCAACCTTCTGATCCCTAAAGCTGTACTTTACCTCACAAATGTGGCGTGGGAAAGTATGGCGAACCTCCAAAAACTGTGCCCAGTTAACCAACCGGTAACAGTATCGCTCATGTTCAGGCTGTGCTCATTATATTCATGATGGGGGGGAAAAGTGTTGCCATGGAAGAATCACCTGAAGTGTATCAACTCTCTGATTCATTCATTCAGAGGACCACATTGTATATAAGTATATATGTCTAATAACAAATCTAGCCTAATCGCATCTACATGGCTATTTCTACAGGCTCTTAATCGTGTGCATATAAAAGGGCACTCTCAACAAGAGACTCCTCTAAAAAGAAAAAATCCTTCGGTTACATGCTTGGAGTTTTCCCACTGCTCCATACATGCTGTTGTTTTTTTCCACTAATCAAAGATTAACTGCATCTGCTGAGACAAAGGGCTATTGTAGACTGTTGTGGGGAACTAAATTCCAGCAACATGCGCCTTGTCGTTGCTCACCTGAAGGGAGTTAAGTCTTGGGGCTCTGACAGCTGGACTACATCCAGGGATTAATGTCATGCACTAATTTAACACCGTTGCCCCATGGGGTCTGGGCTCTTATGTAACGGGCCTGGGTCAGTGTGCTTGAAGACCTGTTGCCAGACGGATCAGAAGGGTGTTTGAAAGTTACAAGGATGACAATAGTGACTACAACCCCATATACTAGTCATGTGTGTTACTGGCTGTCTAACGTCTTGACATTGGAATTATTAATCACACTCATAACTCACGTTATGACACATCCAATAACCAGTCTACACCTTGCTAGTGGCTCCACCACCAGGCTGCGCTCAGGCACTGTGGTGCTTTGGGCTAAATGGTTACGTCAGCATGAATATGTTCAGCATGTGTAACCTTTACCATCTCAGTATGGCGTGTAGGTATGCACTCAACACAAAGTACAGCTGAGGCTGATGGGAACGTCATTAGTTTTTTAGATGTTCGGTCGTAAAGGTAGGTTTTTGACCTGATGATGGCATTTAGATAAGTCAGGAGATCAGCAAAGTGATTAAAATGAATTCAAAGGCAAACATGAATGTTTGTACTAAAGTTCATGGCCAATCCATCCAATAGTTGTCAATATATTTCTCTAAAAACAACATGGTAAAGTTAGAGGAGAAGTCAGAGGTTCAATCTTTAGGATGCGTTGTCTGGGAACCATGAAAATTTAGCACAAATCCAACTAGATGTTGAGCTGTTTCAGTGGCTAAATGAAGACCTGCTAGTTGTGTTAGATGAAAAATCAGGGCATCATTAAAGTAATAAGGCTTCATCCTCTGGAGACCATGAAGTCTGTACAAAGTTGCATGGCAATCCATCCAATAGATGTTGAGAGATTTCAGTCTGGGCCAACGTGGCCAGCGTGACTGAAAATACAATCATGCTTTGACTGTTTGACTCTTATGTTCATGGACGTCAGCTAATTCTCAGTACCAGCCTTTTTAGTCAAAAGAAAATCCTTTTTTCTCCCCCACTTATCTCGGACAGGACGGAGAGGTGCTCAAGCAGATTGAGAGGGAGGTGCGGATGCGGGAGGGGGCCAGTAAGCTCCTGGCAGCTTGTTCCAGGAGAGAGCAGGCCCTGGAGGCCTCCAAGAGCCTGCTCACCTGCAATGCCCGCATTCTGGCCTTGCTCAGCCAACTGCAGAAGATGAGGAAAGCTCAAATCCTACAGCGAGTGGGACGCAGGTCAGATGGAGTGCAATGATATATATATATATATAATGTGTGGATAAATAGACAGATAATAGCTCTAGCGTCAGTGGAGAGGCATTCAAGACTGTTATGCAGTTGTATTGCAGAGCAGAAGTGTTTGTGGACATTGCCATGCCTCCTACCCGCCACTAGAGGTCAGACAAGTTCGCTTTTTCAAACCTTGGAGTCCCTAAATTCCAAAACAACCCTTAGTGTAGATGTGTGGATTTACCTGATTAATGAATTGTTAATGTGGACGTAATATTACGCATATGCACACTGAATTTACAAGCACACGCTATGCACGTAATAGTAGGTGGACACTTCAGATTGTAATCAAATGCAATATGATACAATAGAATACAAATGTTATCTGTGTTCAGTTTTGTTAAGCTTGCATCACCGATGTGTTGACTGTGTCATGTGTGCTGTATTTTTACTGGATTGCACAGGTGCTGCTGTACATACGATACTGTGCAGCACGCGTGTTAGGAACGTGTAGATCGTTAAACTGATGATCTATTATCTTCACCTCAGGCCATCTGACGATGTTTTGCCATGTTTGGGGAAAATATCCCTTTCAGGTGGGTGTTGACCAATCATCTTGCCACAATTTCTTTTTTTTTTTTTTAAATAAAAGAGTACTTGTACCTACTTTATAATATTCACTCTGTAGACCTGCGAATCCCACTGATGTGGAAAGACTCAGAGTACTTCAAAAACAAAGGAGGTGAGTCAGGATGCTGTTGTCAAGGGAACTGATTGCACAAATGTGAATGAATAAAGCTTTGTTTATCTCACCATAATGCCAGATATCATTTCTATAAACGTTTCTAAAAGTGCACTGAAAAAGACCTGCGTGAATGTATACCATTAGAGGAAATAAATATGTATCAGGACCTTTAGAATCAGTTGCAGTTTTTACTCTCTGCTTCTACTTGCAGAGCTACAGCGCTGTGCTGTTTTCTGCCTGCTTCAGTGTGGCACAGAGATACATGAAACTGATCTGGTGATGGTGGATAGGACTCTAACTGACATTTGTTTTGAAGGCACTATATTGTAAGTCACAGTTTGTTGTATTTTAAGAGGTTCAGTTTCTGTCCAATCCCACTAAAGAGCCACTTTTGTTTGTCTTTGTATAAATGTGTACGAGCAGCAACGAGGTAGGTCCAGGGTTTCAGCTTCGTGTCGAGCTGTACAGCAGTTGTGCGGTTGAGGAGTTCTCCCCGGGGGCTCTAGGACCCAGGAGAGTGAGCTGTCTGGGGGCCACAGTGGGATGCTCCTCGGGGAAAAAGATCCGCGCTGCGTTTGAGTCTGCAGCTGTTTGTGGATCCAGTGGAGGAAATGCAACACCTGGAAGTGTGTCGCCTCCTTTATCCCCGGACCTGTCAGCACTGTGAGGATGACAATTCTCCCTGAAAGGCAAACTATTGGGACATATTTTGTAACTGAGTGTCACTTTGATTTTGCCCAATGCTTTTTGTCTGCAGGGGGCCTAAGTATAACCTGCTGGCTCACACAACACTGAGAATCCAACACGTCCAGGAAGGTTTCAAGACGCATGATTTGTCTCTAGCAGCAACAGGTGAGTTACAAATCATCTCTTCTTCTTGTTTCCTCCTCTCTTCCTGAAGATGAATCCCTAATCTGTTTATTTTGCCAGAGGATAATCCATTCTGGGTGCCTCTGTATGGCAGTATGTGCTGCCGCCTAGTAGCTCAACCTCTGTGCATGAATCATCCAATCATAAGTGGCCAGCTTCGAGGTTAAGGTGACTTTATTTTCATATATTATCCTGCCTTGTGGTTCTTTTTTTTAATAATATATCCACTTTAGTAATCACCATATCACATTATTCTCTGCTCTCTTTCAGCTTGGAGAGGACCTTAATTGCTGTGAAAATGTCTTCGGCGTCCTCAGGGGCCAAAGTGTTTTCTGCTACCAGAATCCAGAAGACCTGGAGTCTGAGGACAAGCCATTACTGGTAATCCCCATTAAAAAGGTTTGTTCTAAATGAGCACAGCCTTATGAATAAAAAGATGGATTCATTTACACCATTGCCCATGTTGATTACAATAACAGGCCGAGGCTTACAGAGTGCACTGAATTAATGAAGAACGAGAGGAAACCTGCTGTAATGGGGACTGTTTCAATATTGTTAACTTTTTAAGTATAGTAAAAAG